CAAACTCTTGGGCTTAAGTGATTCTCTTGCCTCAGCCTCCCGAGTAGCTGGGACTACAGGTGCCTGCCATAACGCCCAGCTATTTTTTGTTGTTGTTGTTGTTGTTGTTGTTGCAGTTGTTGTTGTTTAGCTGGCCTGGGCTGGGCTCAAACCTGGCAGCCTTGGTGTATGTGGCAGGTGCCCTACTTACTGAGCAATGGGTGCTGAGCCTATGTCTTAAGTCTTAAACTGATTCCGGGTCTCTTGGGAATGATTCAACACAATTTTTTTTTAAGGGCTGTAACGTTTCCCTTCAGAGTAAGGTTGTAGATTTTTTTGTTTTCATTTGGGTTTTTTTGAGACTGGGTCTCCCTCTATTGCCCAGGCCAGAATGGAATGGTGTTATCATAGCTCATAGCAACCTCAGACTCCTTGGTTCAAGTGATCCTCCTGCCTCAGCCTCTGGAATAGCTGGGACTATAGGCCTGTGCCACTGTTTTCAGCTAATTATTCTATTTTTTTGTAGAGAGGGGGCATCATTCTTGCTCAGTCTCATCTTGAACTCCTGGTCTCAAACAACCCTCTGGCCTTGGCCTCTCAAATTGCTAGGATTAGAGGTGTAAGCCACTGAGTCCCTTGCCCAAGTTCCTGTTTTTAATTCTCTATCTCTCTCTCCTCTTTATTTTTATATTTTGCTCCAGTTATAAGAAAATAGATTCCCTTTCTCTTACACATAGTAGAGGCAAAAACAGATTGTGACAACTCTCTTGTTCATAAAGAAATGTTCTGTAGTTTCAGTGAGGTAGGCTGGTTCATAAGGAAAATAGGACCAATAGATGATCCAAGTTTTAATACTAGAAATAATGCATGTAACATTAAAAATTAGACCTTAAAGGCAGGGGCCACGACTTCTACAAGTTCAAAAGACAGTCTACAGGGGTCGGGCCTATAGTAAAAACTTAATACGTCAATAATAAATTACATTTCCATAGGCAATTCTATGTTTCCTCTGTCTAGAACAGGGGTTCTTAACCTTTGGGTCGTTACCCCTTTGGGGGTCAAATGACACTTTCACAGGGGTCACCTAAGACCATCCTGCATATCAGATATTTACATTATGATTCATAACAGTAGCAAAATTACAGTTATGAAGTAGCAATGAAAATAATTTTATGGTTGGGGGTCAGCGCAACATGAGGAACTGTCTTAAAGGGTCGTGGCATTAGGAAGGTTGAGAACCAATAGTCTAGAAGCATAATTTAAAATGTTGACATGGCAGAAGACTTTGATATCAAAGGAGCTTCAAGAATACCCAGGCCCCTGCCATTCGATACATACTTCCCTATTTTTCATGGATATTTACAATATCCATTGATAGAAGGAGGCATTAGTATGTGGGTAAATGCTACCAAATGGCCTTCCTTGACCCAGCAACTGGGCCATAGTCACGTTGTGCTCCTCAGCTCCTAGCTTGCTGGTTTTTATCTAATCAGTTAAAGGACGCTCCAAATGAATAGTTTACAGGAGAAATTCAGCTCAAAGCTCACAGATTTGCCCGTCTGCTCTTGACTCTTCAATCTCTAATCGCTGGTAAGTGGGAACAGAGTTATTCTTTGGGGATTTGTCTGATCAAAAATTTATGGCTATAGCTCAAACTTTGTTTCTGGACCAAATAGGAAATTCTGGATGATACAAAATATATATAAACTCTTATATGAAATAATCAATGTTCTTTAGAGCATAAGATGGATACCAATGTTTTTCAGGTTCTAGATTAGATAACATTTTAACATCAAATTGATGTTCCCATCCATATCGCATGTATCTGCTTAACCCAGTCCCTATTCTAAGGCAAATACAAATGTGGGGGAAATAGTATTCTTGAGAGAAGTTGTTTATAAACAAGTTACAGGTATTATTTAAGCAGGAGAATCAGTATATAATTTTAGTGTTGAGATGTGATAAAATATCAACATTAAAAATGCCAAATATATAAATAGAACACCATATTTTAAAATATCACTAACATTTTCCTTTAATTTTCTGATGAAATATATACGAGGCACTTTTATAAGAAGGTAAATATATAGAAAGTGAATATATTTGAATTCAAAACTATAGATTTTAATTATTTTTAATTCAAATCTTTTAAGCATTTAACAGTTTAACCATAGTATTTTGTCAGTCTCACACTGTGGAGTAATTCTAATTTTACATCCCAGAAGTACACATTTTTTGGGTTCATTTTTGAACACTTGGTAAATCAGTAGAGTTTGCTTATAGACAATCCTTGGCTGTAAACTAATGAATTATTTAAAAATGGTGATGTTCTAATTAGAAAATGCCGATGTCAACAACAGCATTTGTTGAATGCAAATGATATTTTCAGCAATCACAAATACCAGACAGACTACAAGAAAGAGAATAAAGGACACCAGATCATCAATGAACAATATTTATTGACCACGTTCTATGTTCAACTAGCCAATGGTCTGACACATGTTATCAACAGGGACAGTATTTACATAAAGGACGGTGGCCATGGCCTATGTGTTCCCCTTACCTTCTATGTTCCTAAGGTCAACGGATGATTTAATAAGGAGTTTGTCACTTTTACGAATTTCTTATGTTTGACTGAAGAAATGGATACTCATTTTGTTTGTGAAAGTTGTGATAAAAGCAGTGGATCAAATAACAAATTACCCGAAATAAATATAAACCCACATTCTTTCTTCCTTACCTCCTCTCAAAGTGTGTTTAAATACAAATGTGGAGGAATCGTAAGCATGAATAGGTTTTATGATGTTCAATGCAATCACTTTATCTTAATTTTTTATGATATGGCTGCCTGCATTTGAAGGCTACAGACAGTGATGACTTAAAGACCCATTAACGTGTAAACAGTAAACAGGTCTTTTCTATCCTGAGCACAGGGGAAGATTGTTCTTTGATGTCTGCCTATTTGTGGTCTGTTACTATTTCTGACCCCGACTCTTGGGTTCATTGCTTTTGCTCAGAAAGTCACCCAAGGTTTAAATTACACTTCTGCTGGACATTTTCAAGAAGGTACTAATTACACATCCACCGTTTAGTGAAGGCCCTTGCTCCCTGTGGTATAATCAAGGCTATAATCCAGCTCTGATACTGTCCAGCACAATCTTAATTGTTACCCATTGTAATGACATCACATTTACATAAGAATTACTTCAACAGCTCAACAAATCCATGGCTATATTATCTCTCAGCGGCTTTTAAAACAGAAAAGCATAATAATACTGTATTTTAAACCTGTTAAAATGATACCAACAAGTTAACTGAAATGGCATAATCAGTTTACCCCTTAATTATAACAAATAATCTTTAGGAAAAAAGTTAATCATTTTACTTCTCTTTTCAATTATTACTTTAATGTCATTTAAATTAGTACTGACACGTTTAAGCCAATATAAAATTTTCTTTTAAAACCTTATTTAAAAAAATCTATGTGGTAAACTGTGAACATTGAAAAACCTTTGTAAAAAGGTGTCCAAATTGGAACGGATTTAAGGGATCAATATAAACAAGATACCAATTTAAAATTCTAACTGGCAAAAACTCTTGGGCAAAGAAACACCTTCCTGTCTTAGGGATCTAACTAGAGTAAAGGAAGAATTTAAAATAAACCGAAAAAAAGCTCCCAGAAAGCTAAATCAGAAAGTGGAATAAAGAAATGCCTTCTTCCTAGGGCATCGCATTATTTCAACTAGGAACCCGGCACAGGATAATGCTAGGTGTTTACCCGGGGTATTAAATGCACCCCACCTGCCTCCCCGTCCTATTTTCTACTTCGGGCAGAAAGAGGCGTCCCTTCACAAACAAGGCTAGCTTTGCAACAAAGCGAGCAACGAAAACAAACGGTGCACTTGGCAACTTGCAGCCACTCAGGAGAGAGCGCCGCTCTCCCAGCTTGTGCTCCCAGACGCGCCCCTGGCTCGCAGGGAAAATGCAGTTTAAACAAGGTTTCCCTTTTCAAGGAATTGTCATCCTGCAGACTAACTCGGGCCTCGATTTATACTTTAAACTGGTATGAACATAATTCTCTCTAGAACTTCCACCGAGACGGCAGTTACCGCCACCTGCAAAGCCCCCGCCGCGGCTGGGGAAGGGGCGTCCCGAGTTGGGCCAAGTTGAGAGCAACGGTCACCCCGGTGTGTCTGAGGGAAGTCGCTGGGACCTCGACCCCGCCCATGCCCCCAAATCCTGCTGCCTCCACCTCGCGCCCTCAAATCCTGCTCTCTTTTCCTCCCAAGTCCCCAAGTTCTCTCCGGCAACCGCCCGGCGCAGTCACCCCAATTCCCTCTCGCCCCCTAAGAGTCGCTCTTTTCCCTTCAAAGAGCCCCCAACCAGACCCCGGAATTCCCGCGCCACCGCGGGCGCCTGGCCCTCGACACTCACGAGAAGAAAGGGTCATCCTCAAAGCTGCTACTCAGCATTCTGAACATTCTGGTTGGCGGCGGACGCGGACGGCCTGGAAACCGATGTAACTCGCCGCGGCCTCAACCCGAGCCTGACGGCGCGGCGCTGCACACGGGGCTCTCTGGGCCCGAAGGGCGGTGCCCGGGGCAGAGAGAGGCGGTGCGTGAGGCCGCACGGCCTTCCCATTGGGCGCTGCTCCCCTGACGTCACCAAGACGAGGGGCGGAACAATAAGCCGCTGCCACGACAACCGTGATCAACACGGGGAAGGCTAGAGGTTTGGCCTTCGGCCGGCCCGGCAACCTTTCTGCAAAGCCTGGCGAGGAACCGAATAGCTTGTTCTCTGGGGTGAAGGAACCAAAACGACCACACTCTTTGTGACCTTGGGCAAAAATCACCCTTGGCCCCGAACCCCAAGTCTTCTTTTCAGAAAAAGTGGAAATGAGTTAAAATTTGGACCAGATGACATCCAGAGTCCCTTTTTGTCGGTCAAATTCTGTGATCCACAGCAATTAGTCCCGTGTCCAAAGCATTCTTTGCTAGTTGGTCAAAAAACTGTGAACAAATAATGAGAAAAAAATGTGCAAAACGTTTTTGAGTACAGTTAGCAAATACTGTACTCAGTTCTTGAAGGAAATGGGGTGACGCCTATCAGATTTCAACAAATTTAATTAACTTTGTGAATCTAAAATCCAAAGTGGGAAACGCTGAGGCAGTAGGCAGGGTATTCCAAAACAAACGAAAAAGGTCTTTTTGGCTCTCTTTCCATGCCTCTACTTCAAGAATCAAGTCTTACTTTGATGCTGTGTCCATAATGCCTCTCCAGCATTCCTTAAGAGGATTCAGGCACATGACCTGCAGCCAGAGGCCACAGCCAACTAAAATTCTGTTACCATATTTTTTTTCATTCTACTGTATTTATGAGTGAGACTTCTAATTATGGCAAAGAAACTGGTTTTAAACTTGCAGCAGTGCTACACATTAATAACTAGACTCTGAAATTTTCAAATGTAACAGTGTACTAATAAATAGTACCGGGGAGATTTGGTTACGATGGGGCTGGGGAGGAATATGACAGTGATACTCAAATTACTGAGTTTTGAAAAACAGTATTGTGAAGCCTTCCAGGAGACTGGAGACAGGTGGGGGAAAAGAAGAGAGGAGATTAAAGAAGAAAAATTATGAGGGTGCATGTTCACCCTTAATTCAGTGGGATCTCCAGCCTCTGTAGGAGGCTGTCTCCGTGGAGAGAGAAGGGCAATCGTGGCTCCTCAGGGCCCTGTGCTATGGGCCAGAGAGGTGGCACTGAGCCACCAGGAAAAGCGTGCAGGGCCTAATTTGGAGGTGGCAGGAGTACTCAGGGGTTATTTTGGGAGCCAGAAATTTAATACTTTGGACCTTTTGCCCTCCCACCTTTAGCCAAGTCCTCTGGCAGCTTCCTTTCCCTGAGACTAGTGGCATGAGGTAGGGCATACTTCACAGTTGACGATAAGATAGCACAAACTATCCAGGGAATAACATATTTTCTTTTCTCCTGGTCTCAGAAGGGCGCTCAGATGCTATACACATATTAGGGAATTTCCAAATCAATTTCAAGGCAAACAAAATTGCTTTATAAGTCCTGAAATTATTTTCTTTTAAAAATATTATAAGCACAAATGTTAAGGGGCCCACATATTAAAAACAAAACAAAAGTTGAAGTGGAGTAAGTTATGCGATAACAAATAGTATTAAAATAGTTCTGGATTAAGGTCAAATAAAGAAACTTGTGAGAAATTTTTCTTTCTTGTTTCCATGGGGATTTTTCTTAATATTACATTGTTGAAACATGAGAGCTTTAGTCCAGGCACAGGCTAGCCAGGGAGTTATTTGGAGCCTCTGAAAGCAGTTTGGGCCTAATGTCAAATAAAAACTGCAAAAGAAAAAGAAAAAAAAAAGTTAGGGAAGAAAGAGGAGTCTTGAAGCTGAAAAGACCCTGATGTCAGTTTTAGAAAGGTTGGATGAAAGGTGGGAAGTAAAAGGGGTGAGTCAGGAGAGAATGAATCCCCCAGTGGGGGAGGGATAAATATACAGGACAGAGCTGAGGGGAGAAGGTTCTGGACTCAGCTGTAAATATAATCATGATGGCTAATATTTATTGAATGTGTGCTGGGCACTGTGGTAGGCACTTTTACATATATTATCTCTATGGCATAGGTTTCATTTGGAAAGACATTGACCAAATCAAAAACACCCAGAGAAAAGCATGAAACCCTGCCAATTTTGCAACTTTAAAAAACACCAAGAGTTCAAAATGTAAACGATGTCGTTTCTTTTATTCATCGATTCATGAAATATTAAGGATCGATTATATCCCAGAAACTATTCTAGGCACTGAGGATATAAAACTACCTGGCCTCTTGAAACTTACATTCTAGTGGACAGCTCTTTCACTGACTAATTCTGCAAATATTGTTGTCACAACACCTAAGAATTTTCATGATGTTTGTGAGGACATCTCAAGTGCCCAAGAGGAAATAAATAGGCTCTTTTGAGTGACAGACTTCTGACTTAATTATAGCTTTCCAGAAGCGTATTTATCAGCCCATTATAAATGCCTTTACCATAGTTAATTTCAATGTGTCCAGGGTTTCCATATCCTAATCCCTTTGTTTTAAACAGAGAACAGAGGTGCTCTGGGAGTGAGATGCCACAGCAAGCTGACAAGGAAGGGGTCATGGGACAAATTTTGACATAAACAGAGAAACTTAAGATGTGTTGGAGGTTGTGCAATAGACTAGTTCAGGGTAGATCCTGTACTTTGATATTAGACTGCAACATTGTTTCAGATGATGTCTTATCATTGGAAATGGGAGGTTTTGAGTTACTGTGATGAAAAGGAAGTATGTCTTGGAACTCAGTTTGTAACAAGAAATGCTGGTAGCAGCTTTCAATTTGTTTCCGAAGTTTGGAAAGCTGTGCTGTGCTAGACTGCATGGCTTTCTCTTTTCTTTCTTTTTTGAGACAGAGTTTCTCTATGTGGCCTTGGCTAGATGTGTCATCTGAGCTCACGGCAGCCTCAAACTCCTGGGCTCAAGTTATCTTCTACTCTCAAGTAGCCGGGACTACAGGCAAGCATCACCATGCCTGGCTAATTTTTCCTTTTTTTTTTTTTTTTTTTTTGTAGAGACAGTCAGGATCTTGCTCTTGCTTGGGCAGGTCTTGAATCCCTGACTCCAATGATCTATCTGCCTTGGCCTTCCAGAGTACTAGAATTACATGTGTGAACCACTGCACCCAACCTTATGTGCATTATTATTATTATTATTTTGTAGAGACAGAGCCTCACTTTATCACCCTCGGTAGAGCACTGTGGCATCACACAGCTCATAGCAACCTCCAACTCCTGGGCTTAGACGAATCTCTTGCCTCAGCTTCCCGAGTAGTTAGGACTACAGGCACCTCCCACAACACCCAGCTATTTTCTTGTTGCAATTTGGCCGGGGCTGGGTTTGAACCCACCACCCTCGTTATATGGTACCAGTGACCTACCCACTGGGCCACAGGCGCTACCCTATATGCATTACTTTTAAAAAAATTATTGCACTTTTAGGACAGAGACACATAAGTTGTTTGGACCTTAATATTAATAAATAATAATAAGGCAGATTTGGTGTTTCCTTAGACCTAGGGGGTAATGGTGAAAACAATTACAGAGGCACAAAAAGCTCATGAACTAAAGTAGTTTGGGAGCCTTTGTCCTAACCCAACAATCATTTTTTTCAAATTAAAAAAATAATTAGTATTTTTCTTCTTTCTAGTGAGCTATCCTATCAGTTATCCCACAGATTTGCTTTCTGAAAGGTGGGAAATGGTGCATGGTGATGAAGTGACTTATCTAGGAAAGGCACGGATCTCAAGGTCTTCGAACTCCCTGAAATGCCACCTTCAGCCTACATGGCATCTTTGCTCAAATTAGGAAAATGTGCCTCTCTCTCAGATTTTGTCATTAATAGGAACAATTGTCTTAATAAACATATAAGTCTACAACGTGTGGAATATAATTGCTGCTTTCTCAGGCGTTGTACATTTCTCTGCGGCTGCCCTACTCCCAATCCTGAATTCTTTCCAGGGTTTACTAAATGAGTCCATGAATCCATGTACAAGAAATGTCATTTTATTTTCCTGCAAAAGAATTTATATTCTGGGCCCCCATTCCACTGGAGTGACACCCACTCCCCTCCAGTGGGGACTATGCCGAGGCCGAGGTGTTGAAGCTGTGTCCCCGCAAGCATCTCTGTTCCCTTCACCGGGTAGGCGCAAAGACACCAGACACTTCACTCGGGTGGCCGAGTCTAGCAGGCAAGGGCCAAGAGAAGACAAACTATGAACAAGCAGCAGCAGGTTTTTCCAGGGATTTTTACTCTCATAGCTTTTCTCTGATGACATGGATGCTCATGGCTCAGAGTTTACTATGCACCAATTATATTTGAGTCATAGTTTATTTTGAAAACTATCGAGTAAATATCATACGAAGAAGGTTGGTAACAAGAGGAAAGATGGTGGAGGTGGGCTCTTGGGCCGCTCCAGGCCTTGGAGTGGGGTCCTAGCGCTCCTGCGGTAGCAAAGGAGTTTGCAGGAGAGGAGCGGAGCAAGGCTCAGTCCCAGTGACGGATGGTCAGAGGGGTGGGGCTGCCGGGAAAAGCTGGAGAGGAAGTCCAGCCCGGCTGTCAGGGTTGAGCCACGGATTATACCGTTAATAAGTAGAGACAAGAGTTTTAACCTTTCCTATATTTCTCTGATGTAAATCTTTGAGACTTAGATACTTAAAATCTTTTTAGAATAATGACTCAGATAAGTACTCACTTCTGTTCAGTAATAGTTCTCAATTAAAAAGTATCTATCAAGAGTTTCATAAACTTTGTTCTAACTAATTGTCTTAATAACTATGTGATAGAAGCTTCATCCCCATTTTGCAGACGAGAACACAGAGGATGAGGGAGGTGATTTCCAGCTGGTGTGGTTCAGCTAGATGTGGTCTTCCTGTTGGGATTCTGGACTAGCTCTGCCAATTTCAAAGGC